TTGCAACTTGACCAGCTTGCAGATTGTGAGCGGTGGAAAAATCTGATCGGGTTGCTGGAATCACCACCTCTGGCCATTTGGCAAGATAAATCACGGCACGATTTGGCAGCGGATCAAGAGCAATATTGCTCTGATACCATATTAGAAAATAGAGAATGAATAATCTGCTGATTTTTTTTTATGAATGATGTAATGAAAAATATAAATAACTGTACAAAAGAGCAAAAAGACAAAAACGATTATAACAGAATGTACAACCAAAGATATTACTAATTCTAATTTTGATCTTAATAGGCTGGTGCCACGAAAGTAAAAATCTCCTCTTGGTCTATGATTACATGCCCAACGGCAACCTTTCTTGAACCATTAAAAATCAAATAAGTCGGGGTCTGGCTTGAAGATTAAACCATTTTAATCTCAATTTAGACCAGCTAGACTGATATTTTTCAATTTGGCTGAGTCTAGACCGAAGTGGACAAAATTAATTTTATAAATTTCAATTTGGCCGAGTTTAGACCGAAAAGAACAAAATTATTTTTATAAAAATTGATGATTTTCTTTATTATTTTTTTAATTTTTTTAAGTTGATTTTTTTATCTGTTCCATTTCATTTTAGTCTAGTTTGGATCGAAAATGATCTGATCAATTAATATTTGGTTTGATTCAGTTCAAATAGAATAATTTAGTGTAATTTTTCGATACCAACAGAATACGAACATCCTAAACTTATTTCAATTTTTTTTAGTGTTTATGACAATGGTATTCTGAATTCCTTCCATTCTATTTTTTTTTTCACATGACTATACTCCCACCTGATAATTTGATTGCGATTTTCAGTAATAATTATATATTGTTTTTCTATTTTTGACTCCAAATATTAACGTCATGAATTACCTGTTACTTATTACTTGTTACATAGTTTTATGACTTAAAATACAAAACTTTTTTAAAGTTTAAATTTTTAATGCTAATAGTAGAAAGATTTTCTGACAATTAGAACTCTATCTCGTATTAGATCTGTTATTGTACTTAGAAAATTTATTTTACATTATTACGTGTGTATTTATAGTCTTTTAAAATTACTATGGCTACCTCCAAACATTTTTACTGACCTTTTTTTAACACATATTGACAGATTTTTTTATCACCAAACATGTAAAATTGTTCATTGGTTGAGAACCAGATGGGACCAACTTGAAGACCAAGTAAAATAAGGGCTTTGAACTAAAGATTGAACCATTATAATTTTTATTTCAAACTAGTCTGACTAGTATTTTTCAGTTTGATCAAGTATTAATTGAAAAGGATCAGTTTTTTTTATAAATGAATTGATTTATTTTAATATTTTATATGCATTCAACTTTTTTTTAAAATTTGATTTTTTTATAATTTTATTTATTTTAGTTCAGTTTGGTCTAAACTAAAAACTTCGATTGAATTTTTCAATTATTTTATTCTTGAGCCAAGCACTGCACATAATTTTCGATCTTTTTATTCATGAATCAAGGACTGAGATAATCAATATTCGGATCAATCTAATCTTGATAGATCAAGATTATTTAATTTTCAGGTGCAAATCGGAATGTCAATTTTCTTAAGGTTTAAAGATTAATGGTGGTACTATACATTCCGTCCATTCTCCTTTTTTTTTCATGACAATACTCTCACCAGATTGTATACTTACATATTTTATAAGAATTATACATTTATTTTTCTTTTTGGCTCCAAATATTAATGTCATAAAATTATTTTAAACTTTAAAAGATATATTTGTTACTTGTTCCATAATTTTGTGGCTTAAAATATAAAACTTTGTTGAAGATTAAATTTTTAATACAAATAACTAAAAGAAAATTTGAATAATTAGAATTCTTTTTGGTAATAGTATACTATTATTCTCAGAAAATTTATTTAAAGCAATAATGTTATTTTTATAGTTTAGACAATAAAATTCATTATAACAGCTACCTCTAAAAGTTTTTTAGTGCCAGTTTTTTGACGTTCATTAGCTAACATACTTTTTTGTTACTGAATACAGAGGTATTTATCAGTTTATAACCGGATCAGATAAGATCATAATCGAATATTAAAGATTATATCATTTTAAATTTGTAATTAACTGTGATGTTATAAATGTATTTATAAATAAATAATTATTTAATTTGCAATGAAATGTATATTAATATGTAATTCTACTGCATATGTAATATTTATTAATTTTACTAGTTAGAATTAGTGTGCAAACGTCTGTACCCACTAAATTTTGAGGTCAAACTGTTATACAAATAGTTAAGAAAAGATTTGAAAATTAGAATTCTGTTTGTTGTTAGTATATTATTATTTCAAGAAAATTTATTTCAAATTAGTAAAGTTTTATTATAGTTCAGACAAAAAAAATTTATTATAATAGTTACCACTAAAAATTTTTTAGTGACAGTTTTTTAAACATTTAACTATTAACGAACTTTTTTGTTACTGTATGTCGAGATGTTCATCGGTCTATAATAGGATTGAATCAGACTAAAGCCAATTAAAATAGTGATCAAACTAAAAGTGAACTATTTTAATATTAGTTTGGGCTAGCTATACTAGTATTTTTTCGTTTGATTATTAAGTTTGGAATGAAAAGTACCTAATTTTCTATTAAAAATTTGAGCTTTCTATTTTTTATATTCTTTTTAAATTTTTTTTAAATATTATTTTTGAATATGGTGTACTTGAATTCAACCCCATTTGAATTAAAAATCAGACCAAATTTATCAATTTTGTCTTACCTATTTCTATTTCTGACTAAATAGACTAATCTAAACTGAATAATTTAATCTAGTCTTTCGACTCCAACAAAAATATAAATATCTCAAACTTCATGTCATTTTTTTTAGTATTTAAAGATTAATGGAGGAACTGTGAATTCTTTTTATTCTATTATTTTATGAGTGTACTCTCACCTAATTATTTAATTCTAACTTTTTGTGAGAATTATGTATATTTTTTCTTTTTGGGCTCAGAAATTAATATCATAAATTACTATAAATTTGGGGAAATATACTTGTTACTTATTCATAACTTTGTGACAAAAACTTTAAAGTATAAATTTTGAATATAAGTCGTAGAAAAAAATTTCTGAATGATTAGAATTTTATTTCCAACTAAATAAATTTTCTGAATTATATTTATAGTTTAGACAAAACATTCTCCTTGCACCAGCTACCGCTTAATATTTTTAGTGATAATTTCTCAACATTTACTAACTGATTTTTTTATTGTATGAGAAGATATTTAACCATCCAGAATTGAACCAAAAACTAAATCCCTTTAATTTTGGTTCGGATCGGGACAAACTAGTATCTTTTTATTTAATTGAATCATGGCCGAAAAAGAACTAACTTTTATTATTAAAAATTAATTTTTTTTAATATTCTTTCAATCTTTTTAAGTTGATTTTTTTTTTTTTATGATATAGTCTACTCCATTCTAATAAGAACTAAATTGAAAACTGAATCAAAATTTTCAATCCTTTTATTCATGAATCGACAATTGAACTAGTTAAAGTTTTGATCCAATCCAGTTCAGACTAAACAGTTTAGTTTAGTTTCTTGATCCAAACTATAGTATCTAAATATCAAAGTTAGTACTTGAATTCCTTCTTTTCTATTGAATTCTGAATTTCAATAAGAATTATATATATATTTGATTCGAGATATTAATATCATAAATTAATGTTAAATTTTAGAGAAACATACTTGTTACTTGTTCCATAATTTTGTGGCTTAAAATGCAAAACTTTGTTAAAGTTCAAATGTTCAATACAAATAATTAAAAGAATTTTCTGAACAATTAGAATTCAATTTTCCTAAAGACTATCATTATTATTAAAAAAATTATTTTAAGTTATAAATTATATTTATAATTTAGATGGAAAGTTTTATCACTAATTGCTAAGGACTTTGCAATTTGCAAGTCACAAGTATAGATATTATAAATTAATGGGCCAATGCCCTTCGAGGAACTGCATCTGAACATATAAAAATGTCATAGATTGAGAAATGAAGATTCAAGCTTAAAAGGAATGTGCATAATACTGCATACATCAATTTTATTGAATGCCCAACAAGAATTTTCTTTTTGTGGACTTACCATATATATATAATTTACTTTGTCCTATAAATGTATAGAACATTACAGTTTTCCTAGCATTGTAATCCTAGTTCTTCTTTTGAAATCAATTTCCTTTCATTCTCATAATGTTCTCAATCACTGAAGAACAACTCTTCACTTTTCATTTTGTAGATCGCGAGATATTTTGTCGATTGGTGTTCAATTTCAAGAGAGATCCCGTTGAATCCTTACTGGTTATGGCCGTATGGTTATGGTTGGAAGAGTTGGGCTTTCGTGATATCACTTTAAGATTGATGAACCAACCAGATTTTGTGCTAAAAGCTGTCGCCGATGAAGCTGCTCTTTTTCTCCAGTGCATGGAACAGTCTTGTCCTCCTTCACCAGATTCCTTTGGCGGAATGGCACTTACTACTCTACTTGTGGGAAAAGAGGTTTCTTACGATATAATCTTTCAAAATAAATATACAGCCATTAATGGCATAAAGAGTGTTCTGAATTCCGTATGTGCCTCGATCTTCCCCGATATCATGCAAAAAGTGTTGGGAAATCAATGTGTTGTAAGTCCAGATCACCCTCTTGTTATTCCTGGTTTTCCTCATCCAGTTTTTGGTGCAGTTAAAATCTGGCCAAGGGAGACGGATAATAGCCTACCTGATTATGGAATGTTGATTGAATTGAACTCTGTAAATAATGTTATGAAAGACAATTGCCAGTTCTGAATTTTGTCCGAGAGTTTTCAGTGTCGATAGATAAAATGATGGTGATCATTACTAATGTCCATGGTGATTGTGTGGAAGCTATCAAGATGCAGCAAAAGTATGATAAACTTAAAAAAAAGCCTTTGTTACCAAGTCATTTCTCCAGTCTTACAAGGCAATTGATCGGATTTTTGATGGTCAATGTATTTTAAAATTTAACTGAATTCATGAACATTTGGGCTTGCAAATTCGAGAGAAGGGTGTAATTGAAAGAC